ACCACCATCATTATCATCATCATCGTTGTTGTTGTTGTTGATGATTACATTCGGTGATAACTGAGACACTTGCGTTGGAATTATTATCGGCGGTGATGATGATGATGGCAAATGTGGTGATGATGATGATGATAGCAGCGGTAATGGTAATGATGACGACGTGGCTACAGTGGCTGCATTGCAAGCCATATATGGTTCAGGCATCGGTCGGTTGGTTGATTGAATGAATGAATTAATTGAATGAATGAATGAATGAATGAATGAATGAATGAATGAATGAATGAATGAATGAATGAATGAAGGAATGAATGAAGGAATGAAGGAATGGAGGAAGGAAAAACAACTGATTGATTGATTGATTGATTGATTGATTGGATTGATTGAAGGATTGATTGATCGAAACGGAGTCAATTTAAATGAAATAACCACAAAAAATGAACCTTAAAAAAAACAAAAAGTTGAAAATTACTAATAAAAGAATGAAGAAGTGATTGAATGAATGAATGAATTGAGAACGAATGAAAGAATGAAAAACGAACGAAAGAAGGAAACGAACGAAATAAAAGATAAATAAACGAATTAATAACGTGCCTATTGAAGTAAATAGTTATCAAAGATAGAATTGAAATATAAGCTGAAGGCTTGTTTGAAGAGTGAATGAATGAAAGAACAGAGGGGAAAATGAATGAGTGAATGAATGAATAAATGAATGAACGAATGAATGAACGAGTGAATGAATGAATGAATGGATTGGTACGAACTATAAATAAATATTAAGCTAATAAATAAAAAAATATAAATTTTTTTAATTCCTTGATGTTTGTGTGTGATGTCTATTAAATAATTTTATGATGGTGATGATGACGAAGTTATTGTTGTTGATGATGATGATGATAATGACGAAGATGTTGTTGTTCATGACGATGATGATGACGAAGATGTTGTTGCTGATGATGATGATGACGAAGATGTCGATGATGATGACGAAAATGTTGTTGTTGTTGATGATGATGACGAAGATGTTGTTGTTGATGATGATGATGACGAAGATGTTGTTGATGATGATGATGACGAAGATGTTGTTGTTGATGATGATGACGAAGATGTTGTTGTTGATGATGATGATGTTATAGATGTTGTCGTTAATAGTCACTCAGAGTTATATTATTATTATTATTGTTGTTGTTGTTATTATTATTATTATTTTGTATTTTTGTTGTTGTTGATGATGTTATTGTTGTTGTTATAGTTGTTGTTGATGTTGTTGTTGCTGCTGTTATAGTTGTTGTTGTTGTTGATGATGTTGTTGTTGTTGTTGTTGTTATAGTTGTTGTTGGTGTTGATGATGTTGTTGATGTTGTTGTTGTTTCAAACTTTCCTTAGCAGCAGTCAAATTGTTACAAGCTAGAAAAAAGAACAACAAAAGCAAAGAAGTTATTTTGTTAAATGAATATATATATATATATATATATATATATATATTTCGGAACGAGGTTTTCTTTAATACAAACATCATTGAAGATATATGCCCATTTTGCATTAATGACTTTCTTTAATGAACACTCAACAAGTCTGAATTTATAAACTC